TCTGAATAGACAGTACCAGATGGATGCAAAACGCGTTCATACTTTAGACTCATTTATCTCGGTTCCAATGAGAAATATCAAAAATTGGTTAACTAATAAAATGTTGGTGAGATTTAGACAAACATTTTCACTTTTCGATATCTTTTGGACAAACCGAGATAATTGAGCTCAAAGTGCACGTATAGAGCGGGCTTCTATGCTCTATTTTTATGACATATCTAATCTCAGAAGGGGAGAATAGAGAAGTGAATGGGATAATAATAAATTTAATGGATCACAAGGTTGAAGTTGAAAAAACAGAAAAAAAAGCGAGAGAAATAGACAACAAAGACAAATTCACACATAAATGAAGGTGTGGGAAATTGGGCGTAAATAATAAAGAAGAAGAGATCCCGCAAGCTATCAACTTTGCTCTAACTTATCTCGGTTCATGTCAAAGATATCAAAAAGTGATCAACTGACAAAATGTTTTTCAAAATATCAGAACTGTTTTATCAGTTGACAACTTTTTCATATCTTCGACAGGAATGGAGATAAAAACGGTCAAAGTTAACGGTTATGAGCCCTTCTATTACAGATATTACGGTATCTCTCTCAATTTATCACATTGCTGATTTTTTCTGGAGTTTTGCTGCCCTCAAACTTTTCTGCATCATTTTAATCTTCTCTTCATACTTCACATTCTCATCTGGAATATAATTTATAATATTTGAAAGTTTTAGAAAAAATTCGATTTTATTAAATGATGCATTTCTGTCGAGAAACGCGTCAAGGAGTACAATCACCGAAAACGGGCAAAGAAATTGACAGAAACTGAGAAAAACCATCTGAAAGTTAGCAGATCGGGTGCTTTTCTATAACAGGTTTTACTGAAGATTTTTGAACATTTTGCACTATGGAAGTCAAAACTCACCCTCCAAAACTTTCAATACTTCCTCAAACTTCTCAAACTGCTCCTTCTGTTTCTTATCATTTCTTTCCAATGACTCCACCCTTTTTTCCATTTCTGCCGCATACAGGATGGCACTGTCCACCTTCTCTAAAATTTTTTTCAAATAAAATATTTGAAACAATAAATAAATTTCTCACCATTTCGTTTTCTTCGAACTTCGTTCATATTTCCCTCATGCTTCTTTTCCCATTCTTCAACCGCGCTCTCAACAGTTTTCACGTTTCCAAAACGTTTTAATAATCCGGTTGCGAGTCGAAGTTTTCGTTGAAGGAGAGTAACTGAAAAATTAGATTTGAAAATAATTTTCTCTTGATAATTCAACTCACTCCGCCTGTTTTGCTCATCGGTCATTGCTCCTTCGGTAGAATATCTGGAAAGTTCGAAAATCCAAAAAAAATGGAGAAGATGTTGCAAGAAAAGGAATGGAATTGGCTTTTAACCAATAATTAGAGACAATAAAAAAAGGAACAACACACATTAAGAAGGTCGTAATTTATTATGGAACCACCAGCTTGCAAAAATCGTCAGTAACAAAAAATGAATGTACATAAAAGATCATACGAAAAATCCAAGATTAATCGTCAGTTTTCTTCCTGTTGCCTTATTTTCCTTCTCGTTTCGCAAACCTTATTTCATCTTTCATTCGAGCAATTTTTTGGTTTCAGATTGGCGTTCTCGGCTCAAAATTAGAGTGATTTGTGCATATTTCAAATCTAAACTGTTGTAAGGGTCTGCAAGACCCTTATTACTCGATGCCCCATATAGTCAGTTCTACTGTTTCTAGTCTGATTCCTTAGAGCCATGACATGTCTTTCTTTCTGGCCTTTGCCCCCCCAAGAGTCATGAAATACCATTCTCTCAGGTGACATATTGGCTCTAGGAGATCAAGATAGAGATTCTAAACCTCCAGTCTCTCTACAGCCTCTAAATCCTGAATCATTCCAGATTCCAATGACGAGTCCATCGCCCCCACGGCTACAGAAGCTCCAGGCAGCGGTCTCCAAGTTATCCACCGTCTGTTATTAAATTCCTCATATCCCCATCATTTTATTTGTCATCATTTATTAACCCCGCCCCAAATTCCATTTATTCCCCGTTTGTATATAAGCCCATTCATGTAACCCTAAAGTCACGATTACACCTTATTCTTTTGTACAGGGCACAAGTCGCCCTTTTCCCCTAAACCAAACCTAAGATTAGAGAATAAACCTATTTCATATCCATGAACTCTTATTGGTAGCAGTGAGTGTAGTCTCCATAGGATGGCTGAGTAGTAGATCCACCACGTAGGTTTAGCCCTCTAGCCTTGATGCATTCTTAGGTAGGGGGAAGAATAACCCATCTTTAGGAGGTTTAAGTAAGGATTTTTGGGATAAGTTCCAGGTAAGACGCGCAGGTATTGAGAATTATTGAGAATTATTGAGAATTATTGAGGATTTCTAGGGAGGCAACTGGACCTCTGCAGTCCCTAATGAGTAACTAAGTATTGAGAAGTGAAGACGCGCCCTGTGAGTAGAGTGAGGTGAGCAAAGAGTGCCACCAGCGACATGTCGTAGACCAAGTGAGATAGTTAGATTCAGGGCCCAAAGGATCTAATTATTAAGCTTAGGTAAGTGTAACACTCATCAAGTAGTTCCCTAAAGATGTTTTTCAGTCAAGGTGGCCTAATCTTGCCAGTTTTGTTGGTATCAATATGAAAACTATCAAGGATATGTAATTTGAGGTCTTGAATCCGATTTTGTAGTCACCGAATACATGTTTCCATCGGTTATTCTGTTATACTCCAAAATTAGGGTGACCGTATAAATGTCAAACGCACTGTATTTTCAGCTGGTACGGCACATTTTTTTCAGTGCTATATCTTTTTCTAGTGTTCCCAAACGAAAACTTACCAAAAACAACGTCTACGACTTCTTGAATCTTCTCAAGTTGCTCCTTCTGCTTCCCCTCCACCTTCTTCATGATTTCCACTCTCCTCGTGAGCTCGGCGGCATAGACAATGGATGCGTTGACCATTTCTTAAAATTCATATTCTAATGAAATCAACTAGGTTCAACAACTCACTAACCCTCATGCTCTTCCCGAACTTTACTGGAATTCGAATTTAAGATTTTTCAAATTAAAAAAACCCACTATGCTCCTGTTCTCGTCGAAAATCGTTTTTAAATGAAAATCTGAAAATTTAGGGCATTAATGACCGGAAACTACTTTCTTTAAGAGGTACTGAAAATCGCAAAACAACGATTCATAGTAATCAAACATCTAATTTATAAAACAAAGTGAATTTAGATTTATTGAGATTGGGAAAAAGTAGAGAAATGACACAGTCAAAAAACAACAGAAAAAGCAGGTTCGGAAAAATTCAATGATTCCATATACAAAAAAAGATTATATGAAAATTCAAATATCAATTGTCAGCATGTGCTCTTTTTCTGCTGCTTGTCATTCTTAACTCATACTTTAGACTGGCGATTTTCCGTTCCAGGGTGGTGTTCTCGGCTGAAAATTGCGGGAAGTTTGGGGGGGGGGGCTATTTTGAATCTAAACTACTGGCCAATAGGGAATATTTTCAGTTGAAAATTGTCAATTCCGAATTCGTTAAAACTTGATAAACAACTCAAAACACATCATTTGTGTAATTTTGAGCATCAAAAATAAATTTTCAGTTGAGTTATGGCAAAAATGCCGACATATACCCTTTGTGCTCTGAGCATCATAACTCGAGAGCCCGACTTCCAAAATTCTGGAAAAAAGTTTTTTTTTTGAATTCTCTGACCACTGTTACATCTGAAACTGCTCTGAAAATTCTGAAAGTGAGAAATTTTCAAAAAACCGATTTTTATGTTTTTGGATTTTACAGCTATTTCCATGCAAAATTTCAAGTCAATCGAGTAATTTTGAACAAAGTTATGTACCGTAGGTATGTTCAAAAAAAAAAAATTCTCCTCACCACTTCTCGCCATTGTATCTTTTCCTAGCGCTTCAAAACAAAACTAACCAATAACAGCGTTTTCGGCTTTCTTGAGGATCTCAAGTTGACTTTTCTGTTTTTCCTCTATCCTATCCAGGCACTCAACTCTTCTAGTGAGCTCGGCAGCATATATGATGGATGCGTTGACTTTTTCTTAAATATTTCAATGAAAAGTAAACAAATTCAATAACTCACTAACCCTCGTGTTCCCTACGAACTTTTTCCAGAGTTTTGGCATGTCTCTCCGGATCTGAAATTGAAAAAAATCAGTGTTTTTACAGCTGGAAAATTCTTACGTCTCTCAATGTCGCTGTCAGTTTCACCTTTACGATAAACCATCTCCCTGGACATGTCCTTTTCCCAATCGAGTTCGCGCTGCAGTCCTCTGACTGAAATTCGAGCTTTTTAAATTTTCAAAGTATTAAAATCAACTCACTCTGTGCCTGTTCTCTTCGGAAATTGTTGTCCATGTCCATTTTTCTTGATGGTTAGCTGAAGAATAGGGTATCAATGACCCAAAAACTACAAGCTTAATAAGGTAATATAAATCGCAAAAAAATCAATTGATAGTGATTAAAAAATTAAACTAATAAAAAAGTGAATTTAGGTTTATTTAGACTTGGAATGCGGTTGTGAAATGACACAAACTTGAGAAAAAAACAACAGAACAACATATACAAAAAAGATCATATGAAAAATCGAACATCAATTGGCAACATCAATTCTCTTTCTGTTGATTTCCTCTGTTTCCCGTTTTGCAAATCTCAATTCATCTTTCTTACGAGCAATTGCTCGTTCCAGGTTGACGTTCTCAGCTGAAAATGGGAGAAAATTTGTGCTACGAGGTCGGAAGTATCGGTTATATGAAAATAATTCAATATTTGGAATTCAAGAAGTAATTTTCAGGTCCAATGAATCAACTTGAGATCTGTGGGAAACCCCGAGAGCCCCTCGAACCGTCAACTTTAAGTCCATATATCTGATTTCCTGCGAAAGATAACAAAAATATGTTAACTGATAAAATTTTGGTGATATTATGATAAATATTTTATCTGTTGACAGATTTTTTATATCTTTTATAGGAACTAAGATAATTGAGCTCAAAATTAAGAGAACGGCAGCCGAACGCGAAGCTCAGCTGGCAAGCGCCGACGTGTTCACTTTGAGTCCGTGTATCTCATTTCCTGCAAAAGATATCAAAAAGTTGTTAACTAACTGAATGTTAATTATTATATCACAAGTGTTTTGTCAGTCGATCACTTTTTGACAACTCTCATAGGAACCGAGATAATTGAGTTCAAAGTTAAAAGTTAGGTGGACCATTCTATCTTTTCTAGTGCTTCCAAACAAAAAATTACCAATAACGACGTCACCGTTCTTCTTGATCTTCTCAAATTCCGTCTTTTGCTTCTGCTGGACTCGCTCCATGATTTCCAGTCTCTGCTTCAGCTCGGCCGCATACCAGATGCCATAGTTGACTTTTTCTAGAAATTATTTTTAAATGAAACTATACTGAATTCATCAAACTAACCCTCGCGCTCTATTCGAACCTTCTTCAATTCATTCTCATGCCACTCTATGCCTGAAAACAGAGCAAAAATACTTTTTTTTCAGCTCTAAATTAAAAAAAAACACACGTTTCTCAATTTCGCTATTGGTTTTTTCTTTACGATATTCCATTTCCCTGAACATGGCATCTTGCCAAAGAAAATCGTGCTGCAGGGCTTCGACTGGAATTCGAAGTTGTTTTGAATTTTCGAAAATAATTCAAAATCGACTTACCACGCTCCCGATGTTCAATATTGTCCATTTTGTTGTTGGAAAACTGAAAAATAGAGGCATCAAATACCCGGGACATCAATCTAATCTTTAAATATAAGGTAATAGAAACCGCAAGAAAAGCGATGGATTGTGATTTTCAAAAAATGAAATTCGTTCAAAAAAAAAGAAAAAAATTAGATTTATTATGACTAGGAATGCGGTTGTGAAATGACACAGACTAGTAAAGGAATTGTGAAATGTGAAATTTAAAAAAATAGTTTTTTCAGCTTTGATTCTGCTTTCTCTGTCGTCTAGCCTCAACCAGTTCTCTTCTCAATGCCACCAGTTTCTGTTGAAGTTCTAGATTCTCCTCTGAAAAAAAGTTTTTTTTTGATTTGGTAGACAAATTGGGAGCCCATATTTTAGGAAAGAGGGGCAGTACTATTGGGCAAGCTATGGACATTATTCCGGTAAAACTAGAATGTTCGAAAAACAAGTCGGTCAGGGTCAGGGCAAATCGCCTAGGCTATGTCCCTATTCTTGAGCTTCAATCTCAATTATCTCGTTTGCTGCAAAAGATACCAAAATTTCGTCCATTATTAAAATGTTTATCATAATGTCACCAGCCTTTTATCAGTTGACAAAAATTTGAAATCTTTCGCAAAGACCGATATAATGGAGTTCAAAGATAAGTACCATAAAGTGATTGAAGTACCACTTTCAACTTTGAGCGAATTTTTCTCGACTCCTTCAAAAGCTATCAAAAATTTGTCAACTAGTAAATTGTTTATCATGATGTCAGCAATATTTTACCAGTGGACAGATTCTTGATATCTCTCATAGGGACCGAGATAATGAAGCTCAAACAAACTCACCCTCTGTTTTTCTCAATTGCTCATTGATCTGCTGGAGTTGCACGTCTTGTTTTTCCTTGACTGTTTCCATTATGGCAGCTCGAGTTTCCAATTCAGCGGCATATTGAATCGCTTTTTCTACCTTATCTGAAAGAATTCTTCTGAATTGATGGTTAAAATCAAAGCTCTCACCATGCTGTGCTTTCCGAATTTTGATCATTTCTTCTGGATGGTCCAGGCGCTCTGAAAAAGGTTTATTAACATAATTTTTGCAGTAGAGCGCGGTGACGCCTACCTGTGATAGAAGGGCCTTCACATTGTCAAGTTTGAGCTCAATTATACTTATTCCTATGCAAGATATCTAGGATGTGTTAACTGATAAGATGTTTCTAATATTGTGATAATCATTTCTTCAGTTGACAACTTTTCTCTATCTTTGACGGGAACCGAGAAAGTTGTCTCAAAGTTAAAATGGAAGGAGCCCTTCTATAACAGGTTTTACACCTAACAATAGACTCACTCTTCTCCATTTCTTCATCAATATTTTTCATTCTAAAAAACGCACTGTCATACTGAAGCCTATGATGGCCGAGAACAGTACGAAGTCGCAGAACTGAAATTTGCTACATTTTTAAATTAACAAATCAATCAACTCACTTTTTTTCTGATGCTTGACAGCTAGAAGATGAGCTCTAACCAGCTTCCTTGAGATTTGGATAGGGTCTTCTACTGAAAAATTTTTTTGATAAAGGGCTCAAAATTCTTTGGGGTTTTCTTACGTGGTCCTTTTCCAGCCACTTTAGGCTGCTGACTCCTGGTTTTTGGCATTTTAGTGAAATCTTGAAAAGCAATTGATCAAAGATAATTAATTGGGCAACTAGAGATAATGAGAATTGGAAGTTAAGATCCAATAGTTCAAAAAAAGGTGTGATTTGAAAAAAAAAACGGTTTATTGAAACAATCAAGTATAGATGGGCCAATCAGTGTACAATTTTCTATTGAGCTCGGACGAGCTGATGGAGAAAGCATTCATAGTAGAATCTATAGCAGAGAAGGACGTCGATTCAGCCGTCTCCAATGGAGCAACTGGAGCAGTAGCCATCTTCCATTCCTCCAGATCTTCTTCGATCATCTCAATCTTTCCTTTGTACATCGCGTTCTCCACTGAAACCATTATTTAAAAATATTTATTTTCATACAAGCCTGGTTGCCTCTGGACCTTCAAACAGCTAGCACCCGACCGATGCCTGCACTTCGAGCTCAATTATCTCGGTTCTCTCAAAAGATATCGAAAATTAATCAATTGATAAAAAATTGGTGATATTTTGATGAATAATTCATTAGTTGAAATGTTTTTGATATCTGTTGGAGGAAGCGAGATAATTGAGCTTCACGTTATCCACTTTTCCAAATCTCAAAAACCACTCACCCTCTATTTTAAGGACAACTTCGATGCAATGTTCCAATTCCTCTCGTGGAGTGTCCCTCAAAAGACTGACTTCGTATGAAATTTTTTCTGCCTCTCGAACAGCTTCATCAACTTCCTCTTAAATTATTAATTACACAACTTTTTTTTTCGAAAAAAAAACACTTACTCTTCCTTTGCTTTCTTGTTTCCGCTAGCTTCCTCCGGTGTTCCCTTAATTCTGAAAAAAATACCCTAATTTTGAAAACTTTAAAAAAAAAGACTTACTTAATTGTATTTTGATGTTTGTTTCTTTTGTCTTATATTTGATTGTTCCACATGCTGCTTCCTCGTCTTTCAGTTGAGCCCGAAGAGCAAAAACTGAAATATAGCACTTTCAGTTGAAATTTGGCAGTTTTGACGATTTTCAAGAGTTTAGAGCTCGGCTTTCAAGTTTCTGATCACTTTGAAAAGATCGGAGGGTGTGAAACAGACCTAGATTGAAAACTTTGCATTCACAGAATTTATTGAAAATTCCTAGTTTTTCAGCTTTTTGCCGATTTCTGAAAGTCGCCTGATTTTTTTTCCCGTCTTCAGGAATTTTTAAAAAATTGCATAAATGCAAATTTTTCAAATTAAGTCCTCCTAAATTTTGAAAGTGATTTGTGCATTTTTCTTCCATCTTTTTCGGATCATTTTAGTACATTTTGAACCATTTTTTAGTAATATTTGGACCATTTTTTATAATTTTTAGATTTCCAAAGGTTTTTTTCAGGTCTAAAAATGACAGAATTCGAGTATGAAATTGCAAATTTCGGGGTAGAAAATCCAATTTTCATAGATATCGGACGTGATTTTTAGACTATTTTCCTTGAATTCAGGACTATTCTTTTTATAAACTTTGGATCATTTAACACTTATTTAGGTCATTTTTCATGGATTTAGGACCATTTTTTGATTAATTTTGGACCATTTTAACATTTATTTAGGTAATTTTCAATGATTTTTAAATCATTCTTCAACTTTACAGCCAAGCCCCAGAGCTTTTTCAGAGTTTCTTTTTCTTCGAAATCGACTCACTTCTATTTTGCGCCTTCTCGCATTCGAGATGCTTCTTCAGCAGTTCTGGATCCACGACAATTGGTTCCTCTGAAAGGATTTTCTATGAAAAACTGTTTTTTTAAATATTTCCTTACCAGGTGGACTTTTCTTTTTTTGACGAGGATTATTGTATTCTCGCATCATCTTGAGGGTGTAAGCTAAAAACTGAAAATTATGATAATTCAGAAACCAAGAGACAACAATCACAAAGATAATCATTGGAGATCCAGTAAATTTAAAAAAAAACTGAAAATAGCAAAAAAAATGAAGCTTTTATTATTTGTGGTAAAACTGAGAACATTGGAAAAGTACATCACAAAAGGCAAGACACGGGTGGGAAATCGACATTTTCTTTCTATTTTCCTTGAGACGATTCTTCTTTGACAGCCTTCAGCTCATTTGAGAGCTTCTCATATTCCTCCTTGAGAGCTGTGTTCTTTTCTGGAATTCGTTCAAATTTATTTATTGATTTTTCGAGAGATATTTTCTTTATTTTTATTCAGAGTAGATTTTTGAGATAACTGAGCACGTCGAACTGAGGCACCATTTGGTCTGGAAATTTAGCCCGCCGACCGACCGCCAACCACAGCTGACCGACCGAAATGGAAGCTTCACCTTGAGCTCAATTACCTCGATTCTTTCGAAAGCAATTGAAATTTAATCAACTGATAAAACACTGGTGATATTATTAGGTTGGCGGGAAAGTCTTTGTCACTCTGTTTGTTTAATCACTGTTCTCGTATATGGAGGCTGTGTATGATATCGACTCTAGTGAATAACAAGGTGATAAGAACCTTCCATATAAACAAGTCCCCATCTCCTTCCCTGCTCCTCATCTGTAATTGAAACGATATGTTTGTTCCCACTGCTATTCACATCAGACATGTTTTGATTTACCTCTTCCTATCTCACACCACGATGAAGGATTCGGAAACTTTCTTGAAGAATGTGTACAACACACATGCCCCTCACTACAATACTATTCGCAATTGGTTCCATCGTTTCGAAAAAGATGACTTCTCGCTCGATGAAAAGGATCGCTCTGGGAGACCCCGTGAGTTGGATTTGGACAAGCTGAAGCACGCATTGCAATCGGATCCATTTCAATCTAGCCGTGAACTAGCTGTCACATTCGGAGTTCACCATAGCACAGTCCTTGAAGGTTTGAAGTCTCTTGGAATGAGAAAACTTTTTGGTCGATTCATACCTCATCACCTGACTCAAGCCAACCTTGACCGCCGAGTCGACGATTCGATTACTCTTCTCACTCTCCACGCGGGCGATCGATGGCTGGACCGGCTAATAACCGGAGATGAGAAGTGGGTCTTCTACGATATCACCACAGGAAATCCCAGTGGGTTGGAGAAGGAGAGAGCCCACAGGATGTCCCCAAACCCGACCTTCATCCGAAAAAAGTTATGCTCTCTGTGTGGTGGGGAGTGGACGGCCCCATCTACTGGGAACTTCTGCCCGAGGGCAAAACAATAACTGGAGACCTCTACACTACTCAACTACGAAACCTCAAGAAAGCAGTCGACCGTTCGGCCCTGAAAGACAAGAAAGTGTACTATCAACATGATAACGCTCGCCCACATGTTTCGAAACAAGTGAAGCAGGAGCTGATGGGATATGGATGGAATGTTCTCCCTCACCCCCCGTATTCTCCTGATCTTGCTCCTTCCGACTATTGGTTATTTGGCGATATGACACGTGCCTTCGAAGGAAGAAGCTTCAATTCCCGTGGAGCGGTCGAAGCGGCACTCAAACAATACTTTGCCTCACGCCCGGCTGGATTCTACCGCAATGGAATCCATAAATTGAGGGAACGTTGGAGACATGTTGTTGATAATGATGGACAATATAATTAATTATTCGGTTATTTTTTCTTTGAGAAATAAACTATTGAAAAAGTGACAAAGACTTTCCCGCCAACCTAATACAATAAACAATTCATCCGTTGAAAACTTTTTTATATCTTCTAAAGGAACCGATATAATTAAGCTCAAAATAATAAGACGGGCTTCTGTTAGAGCAAATAGAGTAATTGAGCACTTCGAGCCCAATTATCTCAGCTCTCACGAGAGATGTCAAAACCTTGTCAACTAATAAATTGTTTGTCATAAAATAACCTATCTTTACTATTAACAATCACCAAATTCTGTCTGTGTGCGTGTGTCCGGTGTTCCCGGTTCCACGACCCTAGCGAAGTCCAGAATACACCAAATTTTCCCAAATTTTCACAGATGACCCGAAATAGCAGCGAGATAATGCCCGTTTATTTTGATTTGTGAAATTTTATTTCTCACGTCTTCTGAAGACGTTCTTCTAATTTTATAGTGCAAATCTTTGAAAAAATATTGAAGAAATATTTACGTGATCCCCGTCTAACCGCCCAATTATTTTCTCATCCACGATATTTTTGAAAAAAAAGGTGATTTTGTGAAAACGATATTTTAGTCTGGCTTTTGAATATTTGAAAGGGCGAAAAAAATTATTTTGAAACGGGGGGAAAATAAGAGAATACCAAGAAAAAAGAAATTTTTTGATTTTTTGATTTTCAGAATTTTGATATTTCAGGATTTCAGATTTTCAGAATCTCAGAGTCTAGGAAGGCATTCTCAGGACTTCAGAAAGTTTCTGAATTTTAGATCTTCAGAATCTTAGTATAAAGTGGTTGCAACAATATCGCTCTTTCTGGATAACTTGAGTTTTCAAGATTTTATTCTTGAAGAATTTCTTATTTTCCGAATTTTCAAAATTTCTGAGATCTTAGTGTCTCAGATTCTTATTCACAGAACTTTCAAAAAAAAAACAGAATTTCTGATTTTCCAACTTTTCAGGTTTTAAATTCCCGAGTTTCTAAGCTTTCGGAGTTTAGAATTTTCTAATTCTTGAATTGAGAAAACTCCAATTTTTGAAATTTATAATTTCTAAATTTTCGAAGTTACAAAAAAATTTTCTGACTGTGTTCTTTTCGAGATTTCAAGCTTCTGAATACCCCAATTTTCGGACTCTCAAGTTCTCAAATTTCTGAATTTTAGAGTGCCTGGAAGTTCTGAATATGAAGCCAGTTAACCGAAAAAAAAGGAGCTCTAATTTGGTACTTTTTTGCATGATTATGGGTATTATAAGCGATAGATGTCCAGTCTCTCCATTTATAGGTCTTTTTTCACGTTTCCGAATTTTCGAATTTCCGACCTTTTTTTTCGGAGACTCTTTAGAATTTCTAGGACTTTCAAAAAATTAAGTTCGGAAATTCAGAAAACCTGAAGTTCGAGCGTTAGATACTTGGAAAGCAACCTTTGGTAATTCAAAAAGTGAATTTGAAAACTCAGAAATTTGAAATATCGGAAACTCAGAAAATCTAGATTGGGATATTCAGAAACTCACCATCTTGGATTTTTAAAACATCTCAAAATTTCGAAATACTGATTATACTTGAAGCTATACTCCATAATTTCCTCATTTCTGACCAGATTTCTTAATTTCCGAAACTCGGAGTTTTTAAATTCCCTAATAATACATAGACCATAAGAAAGTAGTCTCTGAAAAAGTGAAAAGAGAACTCCTCTATAAGATTACGGGCAATGTAGGCGGGAGCCAGAAGTTTCAGCCCGGAGGGGCGCAAATCGAATGTTTTTAAAAACTCGAAAGTTTCGAAATTCGGAAATTTCAGTAGTCCAGTAATTCAGAAATCCAAGAAATGTGAAACTTCGTGAATTCAAAAATTGACATACTCCGGATTTCAGAACTTCAAAAATGCCATCTTCAGTAGTTTGGAAGTTTTGAACATTTGAAAAGTCAAATATTCAGAAATTTTTTCAAAAATTATTTTGGTGGCTTCGAAAACTCGAAAATTTTGAAATTAGAAATTCAATTGTAAGATACAGTAGGCGGAAGCCAGGAGGTTGAGCCCCCGTCAGGAAGCGTAAACCGACAGGTATTTTATCAGTTGACAAATTTTTGAGATTTTTCACAGGAACTGAGATAATTGAGCGTGAAGTTCAAGTACCGTATTTCAGTTTTTCAATGTTTTTTACTGGTTCTTGAGGTCTAACCATGTTTTTCAAACGATTTTATGTATTTTTATTATATTATCAACTAGCTGGTGCACCTACGGCGCGATTTAATCTAATCCTTGGTTAGTCGGTCCGCTCCTCACTTTCAATTTAAGGGTCACGTAAACCTATATTCGTTTTTAAGCTTTTCAAAATTCCACAGGCTGACAGGTGGACCAAGAGACGCGTGTAGTGTTTTATATATAAGGAAAATTTTAAATCTTGTTAATTGGAATAAAAACTCACGGGCCGCCTCCTTCACTCTCGTGCACATCTCGCTGACGTCGATGTTTTCCTCCTTCATCCGTCTGGAGAAATCGTCGATTCTCTCCTCCATCTGTCTCGACTGCTCTCTCGCTTGCATGAGCTCGTCTGGAAATCACAGATAATTTCTACAGGCTGAGGGAGATATTTACCATTCCGAACGAGCTGAGCGGCACGAATCTCTTCATTGGCTCTCTCATCCACTGAAAGATTCACAGATTTTTGAATCATGTTTTGAAGAAAGTAAATGTTTAGGCTTCCATTTTCGGGCGTCGCTGGCAACTTCTGATCGGAGGTTGATCTCAAGGTTCCGACCTAGTACTATGTCACCTGTCATCTTCCGACCAGAATTTGACCGTGGCCGGCTTTACAGCCGTTTTTGGGCAACTTTCGACCAGAACATGGCCAATATCCGTCAAAAATTCCTTCAAATTTCTGACCAGAAGTTACAAGCCGAGCTGTCACAATAATTTCAGATTTTTAACGACTTACATTCTCTCAAAACTTCCTCGCGCTCACGCAAGGCATGACGAGCCCTCTCCGTTTGCCTTTGTGCTTCCCGGATTTTTCTCTCCAAATCCCGAACTGAAGTTAGAAATTTTATATCATGAAACCTTTAATAGAATGGCCCCTAAACTTTAGAAAGTTGGCTTAAAGTTTAAAGTTAGAAGCCTTTCTATTAAAGGTTTTACGGTATACATGTTTTTAACAAAAAAACTCACTTTCGGCTTCTGGGTCGTATGGCATTTTTTCCTGCAGTTGAGCGCTGATGAAGATTTTCTGAAAATTTTTAACCTTTGGGTGGAGGAAAACGAGTTGGATTCAAAATGAGAAAGAAAGATCGATCGATGCACCACATTTGGTTTTTTTTTTTGAAATCACAGTTTTTAATTATAATTGAAACTTAAGGTTTGCCACAAATAGCGAAAACTCGGCCAACAAATGTATCGATATGGCCTATGGAAGAAAGTAATGAAAAATCGAAGAAAAATAAGAAAGGACTGTTTGTTAGAAGACTTTCTCCAACTATATCAAAGTTCCATGGAATTTCATGCATTTGGGTATGAGCTATAGCTTCTGAGAACATTTGAAAGTTATCGGAAATTCCGGGTGGAAGAAGTTTTGACACTTCTCGGCCACTGCCCACCAGCTGGCGGCCGTGGAGGCTCAGAGAAATAGAGACCTCTTCTTCTTCCTCTTGTTTGTTGGCTGGCAACAGAAGGCGATTAGCGTTGCGTGTGTATGTGTATGTAAGTAAGAAGAAGAAGAAGAAGAAGGAGAGGAACGATGTGTGAACGCGAAATAACAAAAAATGCGTTTAGCCTGCAAAGATTGGGCCGTAATTTTACTTCATACTATCAAATCAAAGTGATAATTGGTGGGAATGGTAGCTTAAAGCATCAGTAAAATAGCTATTAACTTTTGAAACAAAAACATAAAAATTCGGTTAAGGAGCGAAAATACAATATAAAATTAGGAAAATTGCAAATACACTTTGAAACATGGTTTTTAAATGGATTTTGGTCAGGTTTTGGTCGTAACTTGCCCGAAAACGGCTTGTGGCCAGATTTTGGTCGGAAGTTAAACATTGAAATACAAGTAGGTCGGAATCTTGTCCTGAGTTTATCGAGGTACAATAATACGGTTTTAAAGAATTTGTTAGTTTTAGAATCTTCAGGGCTTTTCGGATTGGAAAGGAATTTTTCATAACTGTTGTGTATTTGATTTCAAATAATAAACCTGCATAGTTATTCAGACTAGAAACACTATCAAAGCAAGAATAGTATTAAAGGGCGCATAAAATATACCGTAGTTCTTCATATAGGAGTCCATCCAAGACGTCGCATTTGATCTCAATTTTCTTCATTTTTATAAAAGATATCAAAAGTTTGTCAAATAATAAAATATTGATGATGTTATGATAATTAATTTATCAGTTGACAGATATTTTATATTTTTTACAGGAATTGAGATAAACTGGCTCGAAGTTTGGATGAGCTGCTATTAGAGAAAATACGATAACTTTATAAATTGGTCCAAATTGGTTCAAGATTTTGGAGAATTCGCCTGTTGAGCTATTTAACAAATTAGGATATCTGATATCTAGTATTCTTATCATCAGATTCATGAGAAAAATTTGGAAATTCTCAAAAAAAAAAACTACGGTGTCAAACAATCCCTCAAGAATCCGGTCTTCAAAAATCAACTAGAAATGTAGCTCATGCTTCAAGCTATCATTTCCAGAAAAATTGAAATCAATTGGAACAGTTTGAGCCGCTTTATGAATGAATATTTGGAATTGAGTCGTAGTTTCCTTCATTTCCTCCTTTCTCGTGTTCTCCTCCCCCTCTTCTTCTCCACCACAACGCAAGTCGTGTGCGCGCACACGAGAACAGGGGATGGCCGTCAATCAAGTGGCCTAACTGCAAAACCTCTTCCACCAAAATACACAGGGTGTGTGCGCGCGCACACACGAGAGGGAATTTCCAATAGAATTCAAAAAATGGTGAAAAGTCAATAGCTCCGTGCAGGACCCTTCGATTGATTTTAACCCTTTCTCAGGTCTACAAAGATTGTTTCCCACCATTTTCTCCAGTTTCCTCATGATTTCGTTTCTTAAATAGTTTTGTGTCAATTTTTGCAGAAATTTTCAAATATTTCGAACCTATTTTTAACCTAACTGTAAAAATGGAAAATTTTTATTCCAATCTCCAATACATATGCCCCTTTGAACCACAAAATATATTGCCCATTTTGACTGAACTGCTGTTTCGAATTAAAAATGTGTATTTAAAACTTTGAATCAGCAACAAATCAATCAATAATCTTTCAGAAAATCAAAAAAATGTCGTCGGATCATCAAGAGAGAAAGACAATCGTCGTGAAGACGAAGATGTCGATGGCCGACGTTCGGAGGGAGCTGTTTGGACCAATCCAGGAAGCGGCTCGAAAGCCATACCCATTTGGTGAGTATTTTGCAAATTTCCCTAAAATTCATACTAAGATTATGATAAAAATTATGACGGCAAAAAAACTGTAGTAGAAGGTCCCCTAAACTGTCAACTTTGAGCTCAATTATCTCGGTTCCTGTGAAAGATATAAAAATGTTTCAACTGATAAAACACTTCTGGTAATATGATAAACAAATAATCAGTTGACAACTCTTCTGTATCTTTGGCAGGAGCCGAGAAAAATTGACTTAAAGTTAGAGAACCTTTCTGTTGCAGGTTTTTCGCATCCAATCGTTCGCTACAAATCAGGCCCAAAAACTTACAAATCTAGTTAATCTGAAAATATTCTTCCTTTTTTAGCCCTCGACCCCAGCACCATCTGGTGCAAGCTCTCCGAGCTCCGCCTGTGCATGCTCATTATGGAGCATAAGCCAGTCGGAGAAGAACGATCCGTCAAGAAGATGTCGATATTCGAGGGGTTGAATAGGATTCGAGACGATGAGCACCCGTCCGTAAAATTCTTCCTTAGCGGTAAGTAAACATTTTCTTGTTCCTCAAAAACCCAAGAATCATAATTCCAGAAGAAAACCAGATGGCTTTCGATAAACAAAGGGTTGAATTGGCTCGTGGAAGCACTGTCAGAATGGTCTTTCCACCAAAGTATACACTTCGGCCAACGCTCGCAGCCATCGAGAAGAAGCTCGAAGAATGGTACAATCTCGCAATCTGCGAGAAAAATGAGCCAAACTCGCAACGAAAAGCGGGAGCAGGCACGTACCAGATACCGGCCTACATTCTGGCGGAAATGGAGAAGGTGTAATTTTGAAAATTGGAGTCAGAAATAATTTTCTAAATTACAGATGAACGCGGAGAATGGAAACGGAACATCCACATGAGCACCCAAAGAATTCTACCGATCTCCACACGTGTCCAATCAAATTAAAGCATCTCATTTGTCTACAATTCTGATTTCTTGTTCCCATCTTATAACCTGATATGTTGTATCTCTTTCTCATTGTTGATTTCTTGTTGATTAACTGATTACTAATACATAAATCTGTTGTTGTTGAGTACAAAAACTGGTTGGAAGGTGCATCGAACAAAAAATACATCGTGTTCTATTTTTTTCCACTATCAGCAAGACCACGTAGACCCATTCAACCAAGTAGAAGGGGAAAATAATGGCTCAGTGGACACATCGCTCCCAAGAACTTGCATTACTCGTATCTTTTCTCAAACTCATCCAAATCGATTGGAAGTTTTTAGGAGATACCGTAAAAACTGTAGTCCACCTTACATGAACAGTTTGAGCTTAAATATATCGGTTACCTAGAGAGATATGAAAAGTTTGCCAGCTGATAAAACGTTTATCATACTATCACCAATGTTTTATTAGTTGGCAAATTTTTGATATCTCTTATAGGTTCCGAGATAATTGAGCTCAAAATGCACAAGATGTGTGTGCGCGCGCGTAGGGCTGCCAGTAGTGGCCGAAGAATTGCAAAACCTCTTCCACCGGTAGCAGTGGACACATCGCTAGCGAAAAATGACTTACTCTTTGCTCAAACTCGTTCAATTCGATTAAAAACTTTTGTAGTAGGTAGCTGAAATATTCAGAAAGATTTTCCTTATTGTCGGGAAATCAAAAAGCTTGAAATCTCTAGCACATTCTGTATTTTTATAACTTTTATCTTTGAGCCAACTTTTCTCGTTTCCTGTTAAAGATATCAAAAAGTTGTTAATTAATAAAATGTTTATCATAATGCCACAAGTATTTTATCAGTTGACACATTTTTGATATCTCGTATTGGAATCTAGAAAAATTAGCTCAAACTTGACACTGTAATGATTTTTCGACGAGTATACATATGAGCCAGACTCAAGATATGGTGTGAATGTTTTGTTTACACAAAAAAGGACATCTATTCCGAATGCGCTCTACCGAACACCAGCTGGCTGTCAGTAATTGTCCGCCTTATTTGAATTTGCTGACTTATTGATTTTGGGTGTTCCCGCAGAAAAGAACCTAAATGAATTTTCGAGAAGTTTTTGCTTTTTGCCTACTTAAAATTCGGAATATTTGCGCTGGAAAACCGAAAAATCATCAATTGTCTTTAACTTCCTCAAAATCAATTCCCTTTATTCAAACTCCCCAGAGTGGTTTTATTCAATTGTATCGAAAATTTGGATGTTTTGGAAATGTACGTTTTTTTCTTGTTCATTTGTGTTTTTTTGTTTCTGAAAAAATTAAAAAATATGTACAGTCAATGTAAAATAATACAGTACAATACAGACAATACAAACAATACAAACAATACAATACAAACAACAATACAAACAATACAGTAAAACCTCTAATAGAACGACACCCGGATCGTCCACTTTGAGCCTATATATCTCACTTCTTTTGAAAGATA